ACACACACACACACACACACACACACACATGCACACATTTTCTTTTTATGAACTTCCCCTTTGTTGAGTTTTGATGGAATTTCTCGTCAGCGAAACATTTTATCTGTTGTAGAAGTGGTATCTAAGAATTTTCATCGTTAGTTTCTGATTTCATGCTAACGTCCTATTGTTACCATTCAATTATTTTTGAAAAGCAATAGCAAATTCTTTTTTTTGCATAGTTTTAATTAAAAAATATAATTCAGTGAATGAATAGTTGATCGATTGACTGATTGATCAATGTATATCCGATTGATCAATGTATATCCGATTGATTCATTTAAATATCACTGATTAATTTTTTTGACTATTGTACAAATCGGATGAATGGTCAGTGAATTAATTTATACGTTGGAAAAATTTAATTCAATTGACATATATGTTTATTTTATGTAAATGCAAAATTTTTTTTTTGCACAGAAAAAAGATTCATTATTTTTGATTTCAAAATTTCTTTCGAAAGGATCTTTTCTCGAAACTTATAAAAGCGATGTATATTACTATAGCTGTGATATGTGATATGTATTATTTGTAGTGTTTAAATTCTTGAAGTCAGTGAAGTTTTCGACTGGTTTTTTTTTTTTTTTTTTGTCAAGGCTGTGCAATTTATAGTTTATTCATTTTTCTAAAAGTTTCTCATAAATTTTGATGCATATTTTAGGCCGAATCAAGGTCAATTGATACAATTCTTTTCTAATTTGGGAGCGCAAAGTTTCCTTTTCTTTATTGCACAGAAAAAAGAATTATTTTAATTTCAAAATATCTCAAAAAAAAGTCTTTTCACGAAACTTAAAAAAAATGAAGATTTTAACATATTTGTTCCCACTTTTTTCACCAATTACTTTTCCTTTATTTTAATTGAAAATAAAATTCCAGTTTTTAATGATTACATTCTGCTTATTACTGTCTTTTTCATTCCTTTTATTTTCTACAACAAATCTTTCTCTAATACATTTACATAGACTGACAAACTTGAAATAATGATTTTCACTATATTCTTTATAAAAATTTAAATTCTAGTGATGCTCTCTAAGATATACAGTAAATTATAAGGGATTTTAAAATAATGAATTATGTTAACTGTATTTATTAAGATATTTTAAGCAATGCAAATAATCTATAATCATCAAAAAGTTCCTCTATTACACAGTTTTGTATGCTTCCTATCCGTGATAGTTAACAACTAATTCCTGTCTGTAGTACTTAATAACTAATAATGCTTGTCTTTGGATTGTGACTCCGAGCCAATCTTGAAGATTTCGAGCTCTGCGATTTTACTTATGCGCACTGTTACTGAATAAATTATATTTACCGTACTATCTTGTCCTATATCAGTTCAAATTCCAGCAATTTCATATCTTTTGTACAGCTCTAAAAAATACTTTAATCCATGCGATTTATCGATTTACATTTGTCTAATGCGTTCTTCACGAAAATTTATCACATCCGATAACTGATAAACAAAGCAGGATTTCAAAGTCACACATGACCTCTTCAAGTTTTTTTTGAAGCAAAATTATTCCATGGAGTCTTTCTCACAGCTACATTTATTTCGTATTTCCATTTAATTTGAAAATTATTTAGAAATAAATTTAGATAGAAAATTTGTCTTTTTGCTCTTTTTCTTTCTAATGACAACGATATCATTTTCTAATATTCATATACCTTATCATTTTGATCTTATCAAACTCACCAATGAATTTGAGGGATATTTGAGTTTAAATGAACTAACTTTTTTGCCAACTGAAATCGCTTAGTCAGAAATATTTCTATAATACCATTATTATCAGGAAGAAAAGAAACGAATTAAAGACCAAAAAACAAAAACATTAAACATTTTAAAAGAAATTATTTTTGGAATTTAACAAATAACGACAAGAATTTTATGGTTTTATCAAATTACTGATACAAATTTGAGAATAGAAACTATATTTGTATGATAAGCTGCAAGCAACTGTTAACAGCTATCTCCGTTACTTGTAATAATAATAATTGCTATACAACAAAATCTTTTGCAAAAAGTTTTTCTTTGAAAAAATATCTATTTTTTGTTATTCTAATTTTTTAATTTTATTTCTTACCAAAAATTTTCAATTGTCTTTATCTTTTTATCAAAAATTTGCACTCAGTTGTGCTAATTATTTTAATCTTGAATTAATCATGAAAAGTTGGACGATCTTTAAAGTTTTTATAGTTTGCAACAGATCAGCGCAATTTCGATATGTCACGCGATGACGATATTTACGGACAGCGATCCGGTAGTTTATTTGATGTTATATTTTCAAAAAATTATCTTTTACTTGCTTTCAAAATTTATTTCAAATAAAAAATTGAAATAAATTTTATATACTTATTTCAATTTTTCATTTATTCGATTGTTTGAAATTTATAACATGTTTATTTAGACAGTTAGAAAGACCAATAGATTGTTTATCATTCTACTAATTAGTAAAATAAAAAAAAGGTTATATTATTGATAATTTAAATGTCATTTTTTCTCGATTTATTTTGATCGATTTCAGATGCTCGATCTCGGACAGTTCGCGAAATACCGGTACAACGCACTACATCATCTATTCCTTCTACAACTACAATGGCCATCGATTATCGTTCATCCGCAGCACCATTTAATGATTATCATCAAGAAGAGTATTATCGAAAAGAAATTCGAACTAGAACTTTCGTCACACGTTCCTCCGAAGCTCTCTCTGCACCACCATTATCTCGTTCATCACCGATTATCGTGGAACGTGAACGATATTCATCCACTGATAATAAATATTATCCGAGGGAAGAACGTACTGTTGACTATAATTATAAATATTTAAGGTAAAGAAATTTCATGCATTTTATTTATTCAAGAATGATAGGGAAATTTATAAGTAAAATGATGCAAATTGAACAATTTTTGCCTTTTTACTTTCGGTATCCTTAATTTGTATTAAAAAGTAAATTAATTAAGCTTCATCTAAGTTTGTTATGTTTTATAGAAGTTTGGAGGAAGAAGAACGCCGTATCAAAAAAAATCAGGAAGAGCGACAACGTGAAGAGGAGGATCGCAGAAGACGAGCTGAAGAGGAACGACGTTTATGGGAAATGAAGGAACGTGAATATTTAGAGAGGAAACGACGTGAACGAGAGATAAAAGTATTATATTTTATGATTTATTAATCTTAGAGGTTAATTATATATCATTCCTGATGAAGTGAACATCATTATCATAAACCAATCAAAAACGTTGAATTGTGATATTTCATTTCAGATTATATTTTACAAAAATCAACATTAAATATTTTGTAGAAAAAATACTCAATGTATATTTTTAAAAAAAAATTTCATATTATTTTAAAGTAAATAAAAAAAATCCGGGGTGTCGGTTTATACGTATCATTTAATCGATTGTTAATTATCTGACATTGAACTTTTTACATTATTGTCAAAATTTCTTATACCATTATCTTCCAACCTATACATTTCTGCTTTCATACAATTTTTCATCACTCAATGCTAAACGATAGCATATAGAAAGGGTAAGCTAACATTAAAAACTTTCTTTTACATTGCTAACATTTGACATTTGGCGATTGAGAATTAATCGACAATGATTTCAAAATAATGAAATTATTAATCAACTTAAATTCTTACTCATTTGGATAGTATTATGCAAATTGAAATAATTAGCTTTCATGTTATCCTCAAGTGAAATAATTCTTGAAGCATCGAGAATTGGAAAGTGAGCGTTTGGAACGTGAACGATTGGAGAAGCAACGATTAGATAAAGAGCGAGCAGCACGTGAAAATGCTGAAATACAGCGTAGAGAGGAATGGGAACGAATTGAAAGAGCCCGAAGGGAGCACGAAGAACACGAATTGCAGAGGTGGCGAGAGATAGAAAAAAGACGACTGGAACAGGAACGGTTCGTAATTTTTTCAAGAATTCATTTAGAAATAACTTTTCAGTGTTTACTATTGGGAAAGGTAAACTTGTAGAAGTATTTACTTTTGGAGAAGTTTGTGAATGAACTAAATTTTAGACTTGAGGAGGAGCGACGTGAGCGTGAACGGTTGGATCGTGAGCGTGCAGAGCGCGAACGTGAACGATTAATACGTGAGCAAGCGGAAAAAGAACGCTTGGATCGTGAACGTTTGGAACGTGAAAGGATTGAAACTGAACGATTGGAAATTGAACGAATCGAACGAATCAAACGTGAACGTCAGGAACGAGAACGACAGAAACGAGAAAGAGAAAAAGAAGAGCTAGAACGACTTGAGAAAGAACGTCAGGAACAGGAACGTATTGCTCGTGAAAAACAGGAACTTCTGAGGTACTGAATGTTTTAAACTACTTGAAATATTATCTGCAGTACTTCTTGAAGTCTTTTTATAGGAATTTAAAAATTCAGAGCTGAGTTGACATTTTTCGAAATAATTTAATCAATGATTTAAGTTTATTTAACTTTTTAGAGTGGAAGAAGAACTATTGGAGATGCAAAGGCGAGAAGCGAGAATGCGTGAAGCGGAACGAATTGAAGAAGAAAATCGTGAAGCTCGTCGTAGAGAACAGGAAAGAAGGTTATAATTTAATTTGTTCAATTTTTCTTATTGAACTTCATTCCTTCTCCCATACTGAATCATTTTTGATCACGTCCGTAATTTCTTCTCTGAAAGAGTAAATTTAATAATGCTTTTTTGGATCTTTTTTTTTTAAATTAAATTTTTTTCATTTTAAATTTTTATTTGTTTTCTAAGAGTTTTATCAAATTTTAGGGAAGCTGAACTCATAGCTGAGATGCAGCGGAAAGCGGAAGAACGAGAAGTGCAACGACGACTTAGTGAGCGCCTGGAAAAAGAACGTTTAGAGAATTTACGTCGTGAGCAGGAACGATTGGCTATGGAGAAGCAAGAAGCGGAAATAAAAGAACTTCAGCGTCAGGTGAATGATACTTTTCAAATTTACCTAAGCGAATTTAAATTTGAAAATTTGAAACTGAGAATTGACAATATTGATGTGTTTTTCTCATGAAATCTGAATGGAATTTCATTGAAAGCAGAGAGGTAATGCATTCATAAATGGCATAATAGATTATTATCAAGCCACAAGTGCTCTGCAATTTTAAAAAAATCAAGAATGGTCTCTTTGAAAAGCAAAGAAAAGGAGAATGCGGCTCATTGTTTTTCAATTGATATTCCGGAAATATCTTCAGGAAGAGGAGAGACGTGAGAAGGAACTATTTGAAGCGCAGAAACTTGCGGCGGAAAAACGTGAACGTGAGAGGCGGGAAGATGAGGAGCGAGAGAGGCAAAGGCAGGAGGAGGAACGAATTGAGGCTGAGAAACGTGAACGTGAAAGGCAAGAAGCGATGCAGCGAGAACATGAACGTCAATTAGAAGAAAGGTTGGAACGAGAGAAATTAGCAGCTCTCAGAAATGCTGCGCAAGAAAGGTATCATTTAGATTATACGGCGGTTTTGCATAACGATTGAATAAATGAATGAATGTTCCTTCTTGCCACACATTTTCTAAGAACTTACTAAATTTTATGACTTCAGAAACGTGTCCAAGTATTAAGTTGACAGGCGAGTAAAAATTCATGAATAGCTGGTACTATGTTATTTGCGTTTTTAGCGAAATTTTTTCTTACAGACAGGCAGCGCGACTAGCTGACTTACAACGAGATGAACAAAGGCAAGCCTTGGAACGTGAAGCTAATGAATTAAAAGAACGTGAACAACAGGAGGCGGAGAGGAGGGAACGTGAACGGTTGGTTTCATCATTCACCGATAAAAATTAATCTGTGAAATTAACGTGAAAATTGAAGTTTGTGAAATTAAAATTAATGAAAAAGACGTAGAGCTGATGGCGAAGAAGAGTTATCTAAAAATTTGAAATGCAAAGGAAATTTTATCCCATTCTTAGTTTTATACGTTTTCACTCATGCGAGGATAATCGATAGGAAATTGTTAATTCGTCGAATTTAAAATTTTGTTTCTTTGCATGATCCTTATAATTTATGTTAAATTTTAGGCTGGAAGAGGATCGCCGCTTAAAAGAGTTACTTGAGCAGGAAAAACGTAACGCAGAATTGCGTGAAAAAGAACGTCAGGAAGCGTTTGAACGTGAGGCCCAACGTCGTCTTGAAGATCGTCGAAGTCGTGATAAGCTTGATCAGATAGCACGTGAAATAGAGGAAAAAGAGAAGATGGAAATGGAAAAGCGACGTTTATTAGCACAGATAACAAGTCGTGATCGCCGCAAAGACATACTAACATCTCGGGAAACATTAGAAAAATTAACAAAACCACCTTATTATTCACGAGAAAATTTGGCAGCAATTCCATATGGTTCTCGAGAAAATTTAAATATCGGCGGAAGTGAAGTAACGACGAAGGTGGAGCGACAAATAATCGAGCGTATTGATCGTACCGTCTGGTCCGACGATCCTAGGTAATAAACTATTTTGTAAACAAATTATTGTATGAATTTTTTCCTCATTGCCTTCCTGTGAGTAAAAATTTGCCTATTTTTCTAAGAATAATACAATCCTGGAAATTTACGTGATATTATTTAATAGAGCAATAGGTACTATATTATTCGTTTAAATTTTATTGAAGAAATTTTTTGATGAACTTTGCAAGAATTTTTTAGTTGTTTATTTCTCGAATATATTCTTTTAGAAACAGTTGTAAATTACTTTGGATCATTTTAATTCTCAGGTCATTTCAATTGATAAAAGTTTTTCGATATAAAACAAATATTTTCTAGCTGGTTAAGATCAGATTTATAGTCTCTTTTTTTTAAATATAATGGAGTAAGAATTGAAAGAGGAAAGTGAGAAATGGTGGAAGAATTAGTCTAAAATTGATCTAATTAAATCAAAATTATTTTGTCTGATCTAATCAGCTTGAAATGCTTTAGCTTGATTGTGCATTTTGCTTTAGACACTTTTTCCGAGATGATTTTGTGCCTAATTTTCAGCATTTTAGTTTTTTGATACCTTTCAATTATTTTTGTTCGATTAATGCTTTATTTACTGCACAAATTACATGATTTCTGACATCGTGTACTCAGTTTTTACTTTTATTTTTGCTTTTTTATTAAGCCGCCACATCTATGCAAAATTTTTTAGACTATTTCATTTTTCGAAACTCTCTGTTTGGTCGTTTCTTAAATCTTTAAAGTACCTCTTCACTTTGATTTATGAATGCAATAAATTGATAAATATCCCTCAAGGTCGTAGAATTACTGTTTTTTTTCTTAACTTTAAATTACTATCAGGGATAGCACTTCTTAGATAAAGAAAAGGACATGAAAAGGTTTGAGATTTGGATTATAATTTTTTTTTTAAATTTAAAATTTTTTTAATTTTTTACACTAACATTGCAATTATATTTTGTAGAAAAAATGAATTTTTATATGCTGCATTGTATGCTTTTCTGATATTTTTATTGATAACTGACACCGTGATGGTATTATTATAATGCAATGCTGCCTGCATGAATTCGCCAAATTTTAAGAATAATTATTTAATTATTTCACTTACTAACGAATAAATTATCTTGCATTTTTTGCTTTTTGTAAATTTTCATTCATTGATTTCAAAATTTCAAATTATGGAATAAAATCTTTGTTCTTTTTGCGCATAGTTGCTGTGCAGTAGTGAAAAAAATACCATCACGGTATCAATTCCTGAAAAGCTAGGAGAAGCATACAAGAAATTTATTTGAATCTATTCATCAGTGATAAACATAACGTACAGTTGTTAAGTTTTAAATTAATGAAAAGAGTGAAAATAAAAAATGATTGATTGTTGATGAAGCTAAGATTGTATGAATGGAATGATGCTAAGAGATCAGGAGATGATCTGTTACAAGTAATTTAATTTTTGTTTTCCAAATGCCTAATGAAAGTCATTATGTCCGATTAGCATTTCAAAGAAATAAGAAGTTGGAGAGAAGTTACAATTTGTTAGATAGTATTCATAGATGAATATCGTTTTGAAAAACCTTTTAATGAACATATATATATATATATATATTAGTGATCATTGTAACCTGAACAATGGTAAAAGTAGAAATAATAGAATAAAACGAGAGAAAAGATAGAAAAGAACAATTTAAATAATATGATAATGTGTGATTTTATTGCTGAAAAAATACGCCAAAATTTTTTTAATAATTGCAATTCGAGTTATTGAAATGTTTTGTGATATCTTGATATTTTCAAATATTAGCATTTGATTAATTTAAAATATAACTCGAATGAATTTAAAACTTCATAAACTTCCAAGCGTTAAGTTATTCATTTTTTTTGGATTTTAGTCAAAAATTCCTGAAAACTTTTAGGTACACACAAAATGGTATGTCAAATGGTTCCGATTCAAGTATATTGGCACGTGAACGTTTGTATAATCGGCGCTCCACCGACGATGATGATTTCAGTCGATCATCAAGTCGTCGTACAAGTCGATATCGATCAAAGTTGGAGAAGGCAAGAAAAGAATTCCTTTCCAGTGATGCTAACAACACAACTGGTTGGTACTTTATTTCCTAAAAAAAAAGTCTATGATACTGTATATGTCCGTTCCTTGAAAGTATTACTTTGAATAACTTAGGAAAGAAAATTTAGAGTAAAGGAATGCTTATTCAAAATTTTATTACTTATAGATACATTCTTATTGTCTTTTTAGCATTATCGAAGGCGAGATAGAAATTTCTGATAATATGAATCTAGGTTAAATCCATATTATGCTCTTAGATGCAGTAAGCGAACGTTTTCGTCAAACATCAGATGATATATTGCGATCGCGACCGGTACATCACGGACAGCCGTCTCAAAAATTTCAAAAGAATGAATTTAATTCGAAACATGAACCAAATCAATTGCCATATATTAGTACTGGTCCCAGTCCATATGATCAGGTTTTGACTTTAAACTTAAAAATTTTTTTCAGCCAGTAATTTTTTAGATGCACACAGAAAGCAAGTGAGGAGCAATTTAGAATGTTGCATAAATGCTTGAAGAGAATTGGAAATCTGAAATCGTAATGCAAAAGAGGGATTTGAACTGGCTGAAAATATTGTAAATGAAGAATTTAAATTGACTGCAATAAATTTGAATTAAAAAAACAATAAATTCCGAATTTTGCTTGAATGTTTTTTGCTTTGCATCCGCTTTTTTACTAATTCAAATCTGCTTGAGCTATCTATTCTCTTTTACTATGTAACTGTGATAGTTATTTCTCAAAAGTTCAAATTTTAAAAATTTGCTACAACTTTCCCAAAAGACTATTGAATGATCTTCATTCTTTTTCACATCTTTGTTTTTCTTTTTTTCATTTGATGAGATTTAATCCTTTGCTGAAAATACTCCAATGCTTAATTAATTCAAAATTGCTAAGCTAATGAAAAAAAGCAAATCAATAGCAGGAATATAATCGCTTATATGAACGAGTCGAGCGCTACTGGATGCCCTACAAACAGCGCCTCTCGCAACCAAATCTGTACAGTCGAACCCGAGGTTACTCGACATCATACCTGGAAACAAACCTGGACACTGGAATTGGTGATATTGTTTCAGCGCAACGACAGGTTCCACATATGACGTATTTTCTGATCCTTTTCATACTTTCCATTCCAATGCCCTTTAATACTCCTTTTCATTATTGTAATGATCGATTGAATAGATTGATAAATGAGGCAGGTTAATTAGTTAATTAATGCTCCTAATTGTCGTGAAAGTTTTCTTTTTCTTATTGAGTAATTGGTTGCTTCATGGACAGTAATCATTACAAAGGTTTTATTCTTCATGGAAGATTGGTGGTAATCTTTCTCACACTATAATTGTTATAATATGGCATCAGTCTTCTTGATTATTGATATGATTGGAGTAATCGTTTAGAAGTTTGAACAAGAATTTGACTGAGGCGCAGTTCAGGAGAATACAGTTGATGGGACCGCTTGTGTCCGATTGTTGATGTCGATTTTGGATCTGAGACTGACCTCTTTAAGTAATCAAGCACACTATATGTGACCTTTTGTTGGATGGTATTTTGATGTAGTGGATAGTTTAGTACTTGAACGAAGGAGAGTTATAAAGTCATTCGCTGAATGAACAAAAGATTACAAGGAATCGTATAAACATACAATAGATAAAGCTAATGGTCAACCAATGATCACGTAGTTCCTTTGAGATGAAGCTGACAGTACAAAGAAAGTTGCTTATTTGAAGTTAATCATTTACAGTAAATCGAGATATCAAATAAAACATCCTATTATTTGACTGAGAATATTTGATACAAAGAATCTATAATATAGATTTTAAAACACAAACAATATCTTAATTGCATAAATATTTTACAATCATAAAGTTATTTCGATTTTTCCGACACTAATTGATTAAAAATTTACTTAATATTTTTTGGTGAAATTTTTTTGATAATATTACAACATTAATCTTTAATTTTATTTTGTTGGAGATAATTTATGTGAAACAATCTGGTAGCTATCTATCCGTACTGCAGCGTTTGATTGGTATTTTCAAAAGAGTTCACTGTCATCACGTCAGGATAAGCAAATGTCTGGATCTATGTATTTTATTTGCTATCGGAAATTGCCATCAAATAATGTGCTTTTTTTATCAGCAGTATTTTGATGTACTATCAAAATTTTAACAATGCATAATTAATATATATTTATATAATTCTGTGTGTAATCTCTAGTTGTGAAATATGCAGTGCCTTAAGGCACAACCTATTAAGCAAACTAATTTCTGGGACAAAATAACCCATTTGATAGAACAAACAATTTAAAGTAAAATACTGCTAACTGCATGCTAAATTTCCCTTTGTTATGTGATGCATAGGATTTCATTTGAAGAATTCAACCTATAGGCCTTCTCCTCTTCGTGCACAAAGAAAGGGATAAGTTGGAAAATTACAACGAAATGAAACTTTTTTTCTCATCTCTAAAACTGTTCCAACTTTTGAGAATAAATGATACTCGAAAATTAATCCATAATCGATATTTTAAAATCATGGTTTCTAAAATTTACATTAAAGGTACAAAAATTTCGATGATCAATAATTAGGATAATGAGATTAATTAGGTGATAACCATACCATTGCTTCATCGTTTCAATAACTATGCTTCTTTTCATGCATTTTCCATTAGTATTTCTATGTCGGAGCTAAATATGCTAATATGATGGTCAGCTTTGAATTTGAAGCATCTTCAAACATACTAAATAGTTTTTTTTTTAATATACCACTTATTTTCAATTATTTAGAAATATTTCAGGTTGAGGAAACTAATTTGGATGACGTGCATCGTTCTGGTTCAGTGATGGATTATAATCGATTTAGTCGACGTGATGCACCACAGAATATCATAACACACGTGCGTTCGAAAAGCGCCGATTATTTGATGGATCGAAAGTATGTTCATTTTGAGAGATCCAAAAAAAAAACTTTTTCATGTTTCATTTATTGTTTTTTTTGATGTGTAAATTGTTTGTCTATAATTAGATAAATAATGATTTGATGATTAAAAGATGAACGAAAGATATATGTTAAAAGAAATTTTAAAGTGATAAAAAGTTTTCGGTCAATACGATGGAAACTTTGAGAAGAAAAAAATTTTCATTAGCACTTTTTGCTTCTTCATAAATTATTTTTAGAATGCGTGAAGAATCGGCACCGCCAGAAAATGAACTCCAAAAATTCAACGAAAAAACTCCAAATGTTTCGGAACATGAGTTGCGATTTCGAAAATCCACAGAAAAACTACACGTACCAGATTGGTATCGTGAACGATATGTAGGACGTAGTAGCGGTCATGAGAGAAAGATAATATCCGGTGGTACTTCCTTCGATTCTTCACCACCACTATCGTACAACGGTATCCGTCCAACAACTCAATACGAAACATCTGAAACTCGATATACTACACCTTTCTCCTATGAAAAAGGTCAATACAGTGCTTCACCTCAGATAATTCCATTCTCGGGATCATCATTAACAAGTGATGCTGCTGTTGTGATACCGTACGGTATGTTTGATAAATATAAGGATGAAATTGAAGAAATGCGCAGAAGTCGGACATCATTACATCAAATTGATAGCAACAACGATAAACGAAAGGTTTGCATTGTGTAGTAAAATTCAATCGATTATCAATGTCTTATCAGAGTTAACGTTTTAATTCATTTTTAAGGATGAAATTATAAATTTGAACAGAATAGAAATTCACATGTTGAGGAAATTAACGAATTACACAAGGAGGAGCGAGAGATTGTATAAGAAACATACCTGTCGCTACTTTTCAAAATTTTTTTAAATCACTGTGAAAAAATTTCTTAATTAGGCTATCAATTTCTTCCAATATGAGCTGAATGTCGTATTTTGTAACTGAAAGCCTACTTGCTTGCTAAATTCTGTCTTGGATTTTTTTTCCTTTCGAAAAAAAAATAATTCAGTTTTTTCATGATATTAATTTGTTAATAGGAATTTCTATTAACTTTTACCCTTGCTTTTTCAGCATTTTGAATTTACGCTTGCTCAGAATTTCAGTCTTGTTTTCCTTCTTTTGTTATTTTCTTTTTCATACTTTCCGTATTCTTCTGCATTTATCACTGACAAATTTGCATAAAGTGCTTAAACTTTAAAGTTAAAAATTTGTTCGTTTTGATTGATTCCGAGGGACACCATTGACCTTTAAAAGTTCATTCATACAACTCATCTGATTTCTTTATCAAAGAATGCACCACACGAAATAATAACGAGATGTTTTCTTGGAGGAATATAAAACGGAATATTTTTTATGCAAATTTGTATTTGCTGTATTACATAATACAAAACTGAGGAAATTTTTGAATAATTTGCAATTTCAAAAAATATTTCTACCACAAAAATGTGTTTGTTTTAAAAAATTTTAAATTTTTACTTTTTTTATATTTACTGTGATTTTTTTCCGCTGCTTGTGTTGCTCGCATTTTCTTAGCTTATAAACTTTTCTCTCTCTCAAAAAACTTTCGTCCTAATATGCATTCTAATTTTCCTTTTCTTATCAGTGTTATGTATTAAATTTATGCAATAATTTATGTTCCAGCACTTTCAATATTTTTGATTTACCGAATTACAATCTCCGATATAATTCCTTTCATCTAACCAAAATCTGTTTGATAACTGTTTTATCCTATCTTTATGGAAGCATCTCGGAAAAAGGTTTTGCAAATTTGAAAGTTTCAAGAAAATAGAAGAACATACAATTTATATGTTTTATTTTTTGTTTTTGTTTTTTTTACTAATTATATAAATATTATGACACTTCATGTCAATTTTTTGTAAAATTTTTTTTATAAATATCTAATTTAATTATAGCAAGCTTCTTCTACGTTTTCCTGTTGGTATTGCTTTAGCCTAGCGCTTCTCTCGACAAAGCGAATTTAAACTTCGAAAGAATGGAAAATATGCTGAACGTATTACTGTGTTAATGAAAATGTTTTGATCAATTTGCTTTCTGTAGCTGCATTTTCTTTCTTTTTTTGTGTTTGTGAAATTAAAACGATTAATTTTCTGTTTTTGTTAATGATAAAAGTTATTATTTGCCAAGGTGCTCTTTTACCTGTTGCTTTCTTCTACCTTTTCTTGCATGTTTATCGCATGGATGTGTTTTCGTATTGATTTAAGGAAAAAAGAAAATGACAAAATATTAAATTGCGGAATGAAATGAACAGCTTAGAATGAGTAAATGGAAATGCTCTATTTTTGTACGATAACAAACGAGAAATAATGGAATATCCCCTGCCGATCGGAGTGTTCTTTCTGCTTTTATAAATCTACCGAAGCAATTAAACTGACAGTAAAATTTTTCTTTGAATTAATTTTATCGCAATTGGTTATCGGTCATCCATTGAGATGAACTTTCATTGCATTGAAAAGACGAAAATTTTCATTCTTTAAATTATTGCTTTAAATTTAAACAATGCGCCATCAACTGCTTTTGAAGATTAACAGTGCGATTTGTAGATCATGCAATTGAAGAAACTGTTGGATAATTAATAAAAAAGTGAAGATTTTATTAAAAATAAATTTAAATTGTTAATTTTTCTTGATATTTTTTGGAGTTTCAATGAGGACTTTTCGTTACTTCGAAATTTCCAATAAATCAGCTAATTAAATAGTTGAAGGAGATGAAGACATGTGAATTACTTCATCTAAACTCAGTTTAATTAAATTAAAACAACTATTTAATTATAAAAAATTTTATAAAATGAGGTGCAAAATCTTTTTTGAGTTTTTTTTCTTCAGGAACAAGAAGGCAACTCCCTTCCTAGTGAGCAAAATTCGACATGCTTGGTTTGTTTTGATCCATTGGCGTACTCAAATTAAAATATGCCAAAATTTTTCTAAAATAAAGGGAATAAATGAAAGAATTTTTTTTTCAAAAATTTCTTACAAATACTTAATGTGTAATTGAATACTGATATACAGCTTCCCTCGATTCGAATCATTTAAAATTAATTTAAACAAATATTTCTTATTTTAAGTTTATAAGAAATATGTCCTTCCAAATAATCATCGCACTTTACATTTCAATAAAGTTAGATTATAATAGGTATCAATGAATTATGAAAAGGTATCATCAGAAGGATTTACTTCCATTAAGCAATTACCCGGTTACACAGTAACTACAATACCTTTTAATTGGAACATACCAGGTGATCGGTAAGTTTCTTTTTGCTGTTTTAGAATTTCAGTTACACTTAATGCAATATTAATAAGGTTTAATAGTTGGTGTAAGTTTTAGGCATTCTCGAGTGGTAGAAGTAGCAGATACATTTATTGGCTCAAACAGAGCTTCTTCATCACATAATGGTTAAAAATTTTTGTTATAAAAATCTCGTCTAAACTTAATCTTTGAAATTTTGTACTATTTTTAGCTGTGGAAACTGATTACTAATTTTTCATTAGGAAATTTAAAACTGATTACAAGTTTTTCATTAGAAATAGTTGCGCAAATCGTTTAAACTTAAGCTTTAAACTTGACCCATATATTTCATTCAAAAATTTTCAAACTTTAAAATTTTAGATACATACTTACAACGCTTCTATGGACGGATCACAATCGAAGAAGTGTTGGATTCCATCTTTCAACGCACAAAGCCATCATCATCATCACTATCGTCATCATCAAAGCATGAAATAAGGTTATCCTCATCGAAATTCATTTACTTAACTCATTGTTTATCTTATTTGCTCATTAACATGGACAAATTGTCATTGTCGCAGAATGTAAATAACTATTATAAAGTAGACTGTTTATCGCTTAGAATAATTTTAAAGAGTTGACAAATAGTGCTAACTTAGTAGCTTTTTCATTTTAGCTAAATAATTTGGTAAACATTTATCTCTGCTATTGCTCATCTAATTCATCTCATTGACTTAATTATTTAAATGTTCTCATTTTTGCCGTATGAAAAAATACTTCTTTCACAATGATCACTTTCATTTTCTTTTTCATAATTTTTGAAATAAATAAATGAATTATTTTTATTTTTATTTAAGTCATTCGGAAAGTGGAATTACTGATGATGGACAAATGCAAAAATCTGGAATCTATGTGAAAAATAATGAATTGATGCAACAGCTAATGCGCGATCCACATGAAGCTGAAGCTCTTCTTCAGGTTTTTTTAAATTATAAAAATTAATAAACAAAATAGTTGCTTTCATACTCTTTCATCAAACTTATCTTATTCTATTTCTAATCAGAAAAGAGCTTTAAGTTGAAATGAATTAAACAATGATAGAGGAAAACAATAATTTCATAATTTCAAATGCAGACTATTTTAAATTTCTTAATAGCTATTATCCATTTATTAAATGAAAATTTCACAATCTCTCAATATTCGAAGGCTTAATGATAAATTTTATTAAAATAATTTTTGCAATAATCTCGTATTAAAATGATTGAGGAAAGTTTTGAAATATTTTGGGTTAAATTATCCAACCTTAAATATTCACTTCATTACAGAATGAACGATTGTATGTTCGATGCGCACGATGTCATCAGACGAGAGAATTGGCGGAAGCTCGAATGCAATACATATCATGCAAGCATTGCTACATATATTACTGTAGTCGTCAATGTCGTGAACATGACTGGTCAAAACATCGTGAAGTGTGTTCTTTTTCAAGGATTAATACTCTATGCAAAGAAGTTATCATGAAAGTAAGTAATGATTTAATAGTTTATATGTAAAGAATCATGAAGGCAAGTAATGATTATTTGCTTGTCAAATAAATGGCATCTCATGAATTAGCTTATCTCAATATTGATAATATTGATATTATGATCATTTCATTTTGATAGAAACGAATAATTCGATAAAGATTAGACCATCGAATATTCAAGAGAAGAGAATGAAACAAATATCTGACGATTTACTTTAAGGTACGGAAAGATCCGGAAGCTCAATTTTACATGTCAAAGATAGCACGTGATGGTTATTCAGCACTTGGTCGTGGTTGTGTTAATTTAAGAATAAATTCAGCTCATACCGCACAAAATTATATTATCGATGGTTGGAAAGCACTTGCAAATTTTCAGCTCAACAAATTACTCCATTACTACACCATTGCAGCATTAATTGCTGAACGAAAAGAGCCATCATTAATTACTTTATGTCGCCAATATGATCCAACGTTAGTTCAATCTTTTTTTATCTAATTATCTTAAAACATTCTAAATGATTATTTCAATTGATTGTGATTGAAATTTAGTTCAAATTGTTAAATAATATTGATTTAATCAATGTATACACTGAGACAAAGAAAAAAAGCGGAAAAAAAGAATGGATATTGATGGTTTCTCAGTGTTGATATTTTGTAAAATAATTTCTAAATTATAAATTTTTAGCTAATTTCGATGTAAATGCAATATATTTCATTGTAGTGATAAATTCATTCTCAGTGTCAGTATTATTGCTGATATTGAGCAGTGTCCTCAGACGCCACCGCCTGAACCAGTGGTCATCCGACAAACCTTACCGTTATCACAATATGTCCAGCAGTCATCTCAATCTGAACAAGAAAGTGCTGATTTTATACAATCTGATGAGTTTCGCTCCGCGGTTCCAACTGAGGTTTAGCAATGAGAGGAATGGCGAAGACTTGGACGACGGCCTTAATCTTTTTATTCATAGACCCAAAGGAGATTTAAATTAAAAAAAAAGTCGATCTCATCATACACTGTTTGTTGGTCATAACTGATAATATGACCTTAAGTATCACGCTCATTTACAATCCTTAAATTATTATAATTCACTTCTATTCATTATTTTATTTGGTTCAAATTCATTAACATTGTTTTGTTCTCGTTCTTTGACTAAATAACCGCTTTATTTCGTTCATGTCTTCCTTTACAGAAGTTATTTTTGTTTATGTATAACGACAAGAATAAGGGTCAATTCACAATGAAATTATTTTCACGTGATATTTTTAATCAAAATGATTTGAAGTGCCTCCAGTTGAATTCCAATTGAATATTTCCAATCAATATTATTTAATATTAGAGAAATTTGATACTCAGCTAGCTATGCCACTTATTTCGGTTCTTATCCTTATCCTTAAATCACTTCCAATTTGATTAAAAATATCACAATACTACTTCAAGTTAATAACCCACAAGGTGAAACTCTCAAATCCACTTTTATCATTTCAATGCATGAAACTTTTGAATCGTGACAATATGCACAGTGGAACAAAAAAACTTCGCACTAATAATAAGTGCGCTAAGGATATTTCACCAATAAGACAGTCATTCATTTCTCTGCCTTAGCATTATGTCTAAATCGATGTAAACAACTTCCTCCACCTTTGTGTTACTTCTAATAATTTACAATAAATTTTGATGTTAATATATAACAATGAATTTTGATGTTAATAAGCCTCACCAAAATATACTTTGCAAGCTTTATTTATAACTTTTATAAACATTTTTCAAGTACATGTATATTACTCGTGTGATCTTGATATTTATTCTTATATTATCCGGCAATAAAGATTTTGAGTGAATAGAATTTGTTCAAAAAAAAATATGTTGAAATTTTAGAGAAAAGTTTCAATATATTGGAAAAGCACTAGAATAAAGACCACAGATTTTCAAAAACATCAAACAAATCCACAATTCCGCGATAGTTTTTTTTTTTACTTTTAATTCTCCAATAGAAGTACACAACTGAAATGGGACACAATTTTTTCTCAATAAAAACGTATCTGTTCTGAAATGAGTTTAAGTTTTTTAAGAGTTTCTGAAAATTCAACTCCTTAGACACTTCAGAAGTCCAAAACCCAGATTCGTATGAATCATAATTAATTTGTCCTTGAAATATTTTACGAAATTCAGGACGGTCAAGCAGTATCATAATCTTCATCATCTTCATCTTTCGATAGCAATTCGCTTAGCGAGCGTTGTATCCCTCTATTTTCTTGCTGAAGTCGATTTAGTTCCGCTGCTTCCGCTTCCAGTTGTTCCTGACGTGCCTAAACAATTAATCCTTAATAAGCGTTAATCAGTCTGTCATGCCTTCATTGAGCATTGAATTAACTCGCCCTAAATAAAATTAAAATAAAGGAAGCTGTATCAATCTTGATAAAAATTACTTCTGCACTAAATGTAATCTAAAATGTGAGATTGAAAAATTTTTTAAGACTCCTTCGATCAATGAACTCTCCGAGATCTTCATTAAAAACATTCCAAAAACTTTACAAAAGATGATAAAAACTTTGCATGCCTTCTCAATTAGCTTTTGTTGCATTAAATATAACTCATCCTCCGGAATACCACATTTATCCAGCCGTGAATTTTTTCGTTTCAATTTATTTTCCGCAGCTATTTTACACTCACTGAGCACACTATCTGCTGCTTCAACGTAATCATATGGAAATGCCAAATTTATTAGGGCTGAAAAAGAAGATAATACAGTAAAAATCTTGATTATAACCACTTTCAAAATATCAGAGACTGCTCTAATGAGTTATTGGAGAAAGAAAATAGGAATTTAAGCATCCCTTCTCTATAAAATCCGAAAAACGGAAAAGATGTGGCGAAAAGATAGATCATCATTCATGATAAATATGATAATAATAAACTTCTTGGAATTCCATCAGTTTTTTCAGATGAAACATTACGGAGCCTACCAAGTTATCATTTGACCTTAGAGACAGTTAAAGAAAACATATTAATACAAGTAACTAAATATTTTCAAAATATTAAAATTAGTTACTTATCGCATTCTTTTTCATATTATTTTTTTATCGCTTATTTTCTCCCAGAATTTTCAGAAATATTAATCTGACTATCAATATGATTTTCAAACAATTTGAAAAACGGGCGCTTAGCATATAAACAGAAGTGCTGCATAACAGAAAATAAATCTATCCTTTTTGCGACCTTTAGGAGAAAATCCATTTAATCAATAAAAATGACTTCAGTATAGCACAATAAACATGTAATATGATATACTTTGAGCAAATAAGGGGAAAAATAATTTTTAATTTGATTTCAGGAAACTTTTTTCCTAAGTTTTGCAATAATTTCCATTCCTACACAATAAAATAGTGAACAAAAACATGTATATGGCTGAATATATAATCCAAATAAAAAGTTGAATATATAATCCAAAAAAAGCAAAGAATACATGAAAATCGAAGAAGGGATGGAAAACACATTAATAAATAGAAAATTGATATGCGAATAAATATTGTGGTAGCTATCGTCTTATCACACCCTTTCTTCACAAATCTTTTCAGTTTCACATATTATGTATGCATTCAAGCGTATCACATTAATATAAGTTATTAAGTATCGTGTTATCGAAGGCAAATATTTTTTTCCATGTCAATAGCTGAAGGTAATTCATGATATTCAAAACCAACCCACAATGTACTTGATTTTTGTAGTGCTGCTCATTCGAGAATTTTCTATTGAGTCTCAAATGTGAGTGATAAAATACTGTTACACAGTGGAAAATTGCAAACAGATTTGAGATCATCTTTGTCACAGACATGTTGCGACAGAGATGATCTCAAGCCTTCGGTTAGCAGGCCTCTCTTTCTATGGGAAGAGAGCAAAACAGTGAAGATCTTCCACAAATACATTTCTACAAGCCACAGCGTCTAAACAGAGTTTATCAACTGATTACTGCCTGATACTTCGTCTAACATTATTATATTAAATCAGGCAACAGATCTTGTGCGAATTTTTTTTCGAATACATAGACAGTGCTGGTAATGCAATACATCTTACTTGACAGAACAATACTTTTCATAAAAATTTTAATAGAAAAATCAGCAAAAAAAAACCCTTGTCACCTCGATGACTTTTTTAATAAATTTTCAAGATCTCACATTGTTAAGAGAATTTAATATTTTGAATTAAAGTTTTAATTCAAAGTTAGTTGCTGAAATAAGAAACAACTCGGCCCAGAAATTAAAATATCACCAACCTTTCTGAACATGTTCATGATAAATTGTTTTGCGCTGATCGTCTGCCGAAATACGCTGTGCCTCACGTGATACGTGCCTTACGAACTCCACACAACAAGCATTCAATAATTCACGTGATTCATTTGCTACTCTCATCTCTGGTATCACATCTTTAATAATCATATTTAGGCCCTTCTGAGGTAAGCCAACTTCGCTATCTTCATCACCCATTGTCTGTAAAACCTGATGAAAGTTTTTCAAGAATTATCCAAAAATGTGCATATCATTTTTGCACTTATAGATTTCAGCTTGACAAACAATTATGTTAAAAAAGTGAAAAAATGCCAGGGATGAAGATTTTTTCCTTCCGTATGTTGTATTTTCACATTATCACTTCATTTATAGTCTCCTATATAGAAGTCACCTTCTCTTAAGTCACAGCCAAAGGTTTAGGTTAAGTGAGTAAAACTCAAACAGAGGTCGAAATCTGAGCAGTTATTTCTTTTTAAAAGGCAATATTATAATATGGATAGCACCTTACTACAAAAAGTCGTCATTTATCTTTACAGACCAAGAAATCTAGAATTTCAGATTTCGTCGTAGTGTTCAGAAGTGTTTCCTGCACGGATTGATAAATCAAAATTGAATAATCATTCATGCTCATTAGCAGCAACTTTTGCATTCCGATCAATTATCTTATATAATTAAAGTTTGGAGATAAGGAGGTTTTGACAATTCAAAAACAATCCCAAGTACAGTAGAGAAGATGGAACATAATAGCATGTTTCCAAAGCACATCATCTTTTGGTTGTAACCAGGTATTATCACCGTTCTTTCATAGATGCCCTGTCTAGCTAAGTAGTTTAAAAATTTTAATTCCTTTACAAATAGTATGTCAGCTTTATGAATAAAAACTCATCAATTTACTTTAAACTTTTCACAGGGCACGGCTCTGATCTTTCACTCTTCCTCACTAAAATTCTTAATTCGCAAAAACAAGTTCCTATACTTTTATTTTTCTCTATGCGATCGAATATGCCATAACTATGTCGAAGCTACGGAGAGACAGAGGAATATTGATACTTAACAACATGCAAAATTTTCGTATGTTATATATCACGCGCACTATGACCTACACATCTGACTATATAAAAGAGGTATGCATCGACTGCGAACTGTCAAAAAGTGTTCAATTTTTGATAACTAATATGATATATTAGTCATCCCAAAATTCACTTTATCTTTTTGATTTCAGACAAAAACTTCATCAGAATAGCTTTAGAAAATTCTTTGTATGAAAAAAAAATTGAAGCAAACCAATATAGATCTTTCTGTGATTCAAACTCTTGAGATCCTTGTTAGTTTCAGTCGTACTTTGTCAGTATCCATAAACCAGCAATTTCTTCGTTTGCCTTTAAATTGCAAGAAATTTAGTTATATACAGCAACTGCACAGATCAGAGATATCTTCAACATATCAACTATCGAATACTCATCATTATTATTTTCCATTAGTGATTTGATACTCCATAAAACCCGAGTTCCCGGCACACATTCACATAGGTTACACTCAAATAATTCGAGAAATATTGAAATTGAAAAAGATGAAATGGATTCCATTATATAGGGCTCAGAAAATAATCCTCCTTTTTCGGTTGCTTTAAATTTTAGCAAAGCAAAAAAAAAGACTCGCTTTAAACAATGCTTGAGAAGGAACACTTCAGATAAGAACGAAACTAATCGATTTAGTCAAATGTGGATACAAGTATAAAAATTTATAACGTAGTATAACGTAAACGTGATGTAATATACTATATTCATAATGCAATAAAATTCACAGAATTTCAAAACAAATTTGCACTCACAATGAAATATACAAAAAGTAGACAGCTATTCAATTAAATAAATAGATAACTACCTAAGCGAGACAATCTTCCACCAGAATAAATTGCACAGATGCTAATTATCGACCCCATTCGGAATGAAAAGAAAGCATGAATAAGTAACATAACTGTAACGGAAAGTATCACATACAGCGCAGAACGGATATATTTCTCATTTGTTTGACAACATCGAGTAATACCTTTTGATTTGCGCCGAATCCTACATATGTGGCCCTACTACTACCTTAGAAGCGTTGAGTAAACAGTAATCAATAAAATGATGTCAATTTAATTTATTTTAAAATTTAAAGATTCTTGAAGGTGCGAAAGATTTGGAGTACAACTATTTGTGATTATGTTATTTAATAGTAAATCTGTCTTGAAAATATTCAAAAGAAAAATGCTTTCAATTAAAAAATGTGCCACAGATTTTTTTCCAAATCGATGGTAAAAGTATTGGTATTTTCTTATTATAAATATTTCATTATATGAAATATTTATAATGGAATTTGAACTAAAATATTTTGCCATGTCTTCTAACACTTTCTTTATTTTTTGACGAAACTATAAACGATCAGAGATAATGACAAATATAATTCAGGAATGGTGTGGACTATATTACTTTCTGACGAATACTTTGAAGTAGAACTAATTAACATCAAAGACAATTTCTCTTATCGAACTTTGGAATTCCAAGGCAATGTGCATCATTAGGTTATTCCCATATCTATTACAGAGACATTCAGGAACTGTTTACAGATGATGATAATAATACAAAGTCAATAATGAACAAACTGCATTGAGATAGATTAGAGTTGAGTAGTGAGAGAGATAATAACAATAATGGTGAGTTAGACAATTCCAAAATAATGCTCTAAAATTTTCCGAAGAAAAAACTTTATGACTAAAACTTTGATATGGCGCTAATAGAAACAATATATTGCTCAATCGCTTTTTACAATTAGCATACTATGACAAATTCAGACCTTTTCGATTGCCAGCAAAGAATCGTATAATTGTTCTTGACGATATCGCTTGCCAAACAATGTCACGAAATTTTAATTCCATCAAACATTGTTGTCATGTTATTTTGAACGCATCTTAAAGAAATAATTTTTTATAAAATTATAATTTCATGATTAAATAATGTCGATTTTCTCATAATTTTAGAGCCAACAAATCTTAATATGTTTTTGATTCCCATTTCAAATCGCCCATTAACCCCTATTTTGAATTCCTGAATCTCAGACTTAGTTATTTTGAATGATCATTTTAATATTTCACGAAATATAGGCGAAAGAACGAAATGTTGTTAAGAATATCGAAAGACAGAAGCATCTTGATGAGAAATAAATCAATTAACAGAGTATTATAACAATAACATGGATGTGAAGCATTTTCAATAATGCCAAACTAGAAAAGTTCTTTAACTAGCAATTCAAAATGCTGATATTTTGCGACACAAAATACAATGGATGAGATCGTGCGACAAAAAGTTGTCTGCTGTAAAAAAAAGCAGAGACATACAAAACTGATACAAATCTGACCAGAACGATTGCTCGTTATCTATAAGGGATTGTGGTAACGAAAAGACTGCATTCTTAATTCCTGTGCCTTCACTCCAAGCAGTATAAAGAAAAATATCTATCGATGAAATGCCGAGCGAAACATTCTCTTTTGTCCTTTTTCATTGCCTTCCATCCACTCATTTTCTTTTTTTTTATCGATCAAAACAATCTCGTTGGTACATTTTTCTCTTTCTTTACCATCCTCTAATTTTGATTAAAAATTTGAATGGAAAGATTTCTGGATTTCCAACATAAAACATTTGGTCAACTGAATCTATATTTTATTTTTAACAAACAATTGCCTATATCGACATTTATTATTAGATGAAATCAAATGCATATTGTTCAAAATTTTCAATCACGAATCAATAAATTACTGTTCCTCTACAGATTTCAATATGCAATACTTTCTCTTATAGTAATAAAAATTGATAATGCTATTGCACCATGAATCCTTCAATAATACTTTCCAAATTCAGACATTTTGAACGCATACTACTGCATATCTCACAAAAAATAGTTGCAATAAGTGCCCAAAAACACAGTAATACATACACAAAGAATTAACAAAGTAATCAGGCAAACAACTATGCATGTAAATTCCTGGCCATTATTTGGATTAACAGGAATGATGGTAATAAATCTAAATTTTAAGACTGGATTATCAATTACCCCACTTCAACCACCGATATCAACAAATCTTACAGCAACTCAAAGTTATCATAGCGATGTTTTCTGCTAAAATTGAAAGATCTTGAAAACAACGAACCTTTTCCTGAGACAATTTCCATGTCGTCTGCTCTACAATTTCCCGATCCATCTCAATATTATTCCTCCAAAATGATCACCACAAAGCTGCGAAAATCAATCCTTCTGGTTTGTGTTGCTATCGGATGCGATAATTTCAATATTGCATTTGGAGGGCCGCATTTTTGGAACGTTATTCTGTAACGAAGTTTATACGAATCTTTTTCAGTTACAATGAGTTAAGTCAAATTACTGTGTGATGAGACGGACGTTGGATTCAATCGGATTGATTGATTGGTCGAGTTGTTCGTGTATCGATCGATCACGAAGATGGAAAAAATTGTGATTGGATTGTACTGTTGCTGAAGAGTTAGATTTGGTAGAAAGTTTTTCATATCATCAATTAATTCCTGAGACCGAAAGATTCCCACGAATTTAGTTTAAACATTGAAGAAAACATAATGGACCATAAAATGATTTCTCATCTCGTTTATTAGTGTTGGGAATTTTGGTGAAAAAAATTGCCATCTATCATGAATTCATGAAACAGAGTGGTAGATGAGTTGATGTATCGATCGTCTGATGATAAAGAGGCATGATTTCTATGGCAGGGATGGTAATCAATAAACACCAGCGCCGATCGTCTAACTCATTAGTTATCTCTACGATCTTTCCATTTCGGTCTTTCCTCCTTTCTTCTCTCGTCTATCACTGCATTCCATAAGATTCAAGACGTTAATATCGAAAGAATCTTTTTCCCCTCTCTCGCAACTATTCGGAGGAAACGACATTTTAACAAATGTAAAAAGTAATGTGAAACATAAAAATGTAAGTTGTTACAACTAAACCAAAACCTTTTCAAACGTAAAAGAAGGAAGAAAAGGAAGAAGTGATAATTAAATATTCCTTGTAGCGAAGATGTTCAGCACCGAAGAGAAATTTAGTTACAAACGAATAGTTCCGAAGAAGCGGAACTTCGAAGTGCACAAACTTGCTATAACGTAGCAGAAGAGATGAGATGAGGGACTTCCGAGATACTAATTAAAATAATTAAAAAGAAACTAAGAAAAACCGGATTTTAATAATTTTGGTTGGGCCATATTCCGTAGTTAATAAATGTGATAGAGGCATAAGTGGCGCTATTTATTTTAGGTTTTAAGCATTTCGAATATCCCTTGCTATAACTATAACTGTATGAGTGGGACACAGTCCTCTCTCCCCCTCCCTCCTTCTCTCTCTCTCCCTATTTATCCTCTTATATTTCGCATGAACTGTTGTCATTTCATTAAAATGTTTGCCCTAAGTCTGGCCTCTAACTATCACATCTCTAAATTCCTTCTTTTGTTACATCGTCAAATATTTCGAGATTTACCGGTCATTCGAGTCTTCCACAATAGATCAGAGAAATAGTATATGTGTAAAGTGTTTCTTAATACAGTTGTCCTTAATAGTTCTCTCCACGATTATTTTATTCTTCGTTTCCACTAACAGGTGGATATTCACAGGTGTAGTAAACAATAGATATAAAAATAGAGAGATGTACAGGCGCATATTGTCTGCAAATCGATTTGCGCAAATAGACTTTGTCATCTGCAGAACTTTCTGCTGATGACGAAAATTTTTTGTTTTATTAAAACTGCTGATGAAAGTTTTCTATTTTATGTCGAGTAGTGAGTAGTATAATGTTGTGTACAAACTGAATATAAAATTATAAAATTATATTAAACTGATGAAGGTATAATTTCCAACATTTCAATATTTACGTTGCGTATTTAATTTATTATAGATCATAATTATTTGCACAAATCTTTGAATATAGAATACTTCTATTGAATTCGAATTTATCGGCGCATTTCGAAAATATTCAGCAATGAATATTCAACAGAAAATCTGTTAATGTAAATTGTTATTCAACTTTTCATGGCTTGAAGGAAAAAGAGCTGATAGCTGATAGTTAGCAATTGTTTAACTGAAAAAAATTCTTTATAATAAAGCAGATTCAGCAAAACTTTGTATAATGTCTACGATGCTACTAAAATTCGACTTCATGCCACTGCAATATTTTCGGAGTTTTTTTTTGAAGTTTATTCTATAATGATAGTTAAAAATTCATAAACAAAAAAAAATAGTGGTAAATATATCCATTTCTTCAATTGACTTAATTAGACAACTTTAACTCTGTTAAATGATATTAATAATAACGAAGGTGAAATAAAATAAAGTGTTTCATACAGCAACTTCAAATTTTTGAAACTGATTGAAACAGATTGTATATATATGTATGTATATATGTAACTGTTTACAGGAATTGATTCTAAAAATATGAAAGTAGAAGTAATCAATACGATCACAGTACAATATGCTAAAAGTGGGTATAAAATTATGAGAAAAGTAGTTAAATTTCATTGAGTACGCTGAATTGATAAGGATATTGAATAGAAGACAATGGAAATATTATTTTATTATGCCAAAAATTGAACAAAGTAATTCAGCATTTTATTTGTTAAAGACTGAAGGAGGAATTCCGGATGTATTCAGGATCTACAACAATTGTATTCCTGATTAGCATATCCAGTAATGTAACAGTAGGAATTTGGTGGACACAGTGGTTTTTCACCATTACAGACTATCAAATAATTGGTACTTTCATCACGAATGACATTATTCGGAGTAGGGCATACTCCATTTCCAGGTCTAGTTTTATAGATTGATACGGTACTCGTGTGAGAGTTCTCGTGTGACTCGTGTGAGATTGATACGGTACTCGTATGAGTACGTGATTTACGCAATGGTGGACCAGTGATTCTCGGTTGACCTGGGAGAGGAACCGGTACTGATGTAGGAGGGAGAGTGGAATTATTGATGGTTGTTGCTATTGTTTGCCACTGATTCAAGCCATCAATAGGTAATACATCTCCAACCTGTTGCGATGATACTGTCGATGAGATGAACGAGTTGATAGGAAAAGGCATTGCAATCTTTTCAATCGTTTCTAAAAATATATACGATAGAAATAATTTACTTTTTTTCTTTTAATATTTAACTTCCAACAAAATCTTAAGTTTTGACTGCCAGCTTTTGTTAGTTTTGACTCATAGCGTATCAGAGCTTTTTGATGAAGTTAGATCAGTTGTCTGAGATTGCTGTAATTTCCTGAGAGAGAGAGAGAGAGAGAGAGAGAGAGAGAGAGA